CACGATAGTTTCACTGAGTAGCTGTGCCAGATGACTTTGGCACGTTGATGTTGTGTATGAGTGACGTCTTACAAGCTTTATTCTTTTAGACAAAAACATAACGAGCTCGTTTTCATCACTAAAAGAACCTTTGCGCAGTCAGTCTCTCTTCTTCAGGAAGCGGTAGGGTTTGCGATGTTTCAGTGCGGATCGCGGTCAGTACATCTTATAGGAGGATGCCTAAATGCTAGAAGAAATTAGCAAATCTCAAAAAATATCATCGTTTTGGAATTTTTCTTTTACAGTAGAAGGGGTGTGCAGCAGCTCGAAAGGAGTGGGTGGCAGGGTCATCATCATGGCTTCTTATATCCATAACTTTTCACAGTTTGAGGTGCTCACTGACACTTCAAAGCCTATTGCAGTAGAGTACAGGTCTGACGTCCAACATCGGCCTACTTGACGCTTCTAGTTTTGTTTTCAGCAACTTTTTTTGTCCCTGGCCTATTGTAGCCGCGACAGGGATGAACTGACACCCGACCTACGGTGTCAGACTTTGCGAATTCGTGGAGTCGTTGGTGAATCCACGGCTTCGCAACTGGGCGTTCCGCTGGCTTTGTAGGGGTACGGGTGTTGCGCCAGCGAATCATCGACTAAATTCTCTGAATCCTCGTTCGAGCTGCTAGCGCAACCTCGCCACTCATACTGCAGCAAATCCATTCGGATTCCTAAAATCTGGCACGACCTTATGATGTCCGCTTGAGGTATTAGAGGAAAAGGGGACTAGAAAAGGTTCCTGAACTTTGATTTCAAAATGCTTTCATAATATTGGTGCACAAGTAAATTCTCCACTCTCTCCACCCTGTAGGTAATCGCAGTGAATAGAAGTCTTTACATCTAACAATGGAAGGATACCAGGTCGAAGTGGCCATTTGTAACGAGACATACACCACTAGATGTGTTTTTGGACGCTGATCTCGAATCTGCTCTCCAAATCTGCGAAACGATTCTCTTAACGTAGTTATGAAGCGGCACGAGCTTCATAACTACGTAAGAGAATCGAGCAGTGGCAGCGGCACGAGCTGACGAGTAAAGAGGTCGTGAGATCGAATTCCGGCGAGTTTTGACTTTTGCTTTTCCTGAGGACATTGTTAAGGAGATCCTCATCTATGCTAAGTCATCAGCACTCGCCTATATCCTAGCGAGGAGTTTCCATCAAGCCATTTGCAAATGACAACGACGACTGCCCACATTTTCGAAGTTAGGTCAAAATTTCAGATTTGGACCAAAAGTTGTGGAAAGGGGCAGATTTGACGCGCTGAACACGAATATCACCTCTGTTTGGCACGAAAGCGCCTGACGCGTGCGCTACGAGTACAAGGGGCGATCTTTTGCGAATGGCGCGCACAGTGTTAGATGCTCCTCGCTAGCTATTCCCACTTGTAATATAGGCAATCGCTAATAATTTATATGGATAAAAGCATCTTTAGCAATGTCTCAAGGAAAGCAAATGTGAGAACGCCAAGAATCGATCTCACGACCTCTTGCTCGTCGGCCCGGGCCGCTGCCACTGCACTATCTCGCTTCATAACTACGTTCAGAGAATCGTTTCGCAGATTTGGAGAGCAGATTCGAGATCAGCGTCCAAAAACACATCTAGTGGTGTATGTCTCGTTACAAATGGCCACTTCGACCTGGTATCCTTCCCTTGTAAGTTAGC